GCTAGTGAAGCATAAATCATATCTGTTAAGTGTCTTGGGTCCATCAAGTTTATGTGGAAGTAGAAAATGTAAATATCACAGATCTTATGTATATTTCAGCATGATGATTACTTAAAAAAATGAACAAAAGTATGCCTATAAGAACTGTCTGTCCAAAAATCTTTAAAGATAGCCTTTAGATGGTGTTATTGAATACATGATATTTAAGTTTGTACAATGGAAATGTAGATTTGAGTTACATAATCTAAAATGTCAGATTGACATGTTCTCTTTTCAGTGAAGTTGATATAATTACTATTAAAGGTGTGTTTAGGGGTGAAAATATGTTCACAGATCGTATGTTCTGTAGAAAGTATAACTCATCAAGAACCTCAGCTTAATTTTTCAGCCAGAAATAATATGCAAAAGTCCATTCCAATATTCTATGGGAAAAATCCTGTTTCTCCAGATTGAATTTTCAAACATTTTATTGCTAGGTAACTAAAAAACTGTTCATGATCTTGAGATGTAATTACTTTAAAAAGTCATCTTTGTATTGTCTGTGGAATCTGTCTCACCTGAAGTGTTAGCTTGTTCGTTACAAGCCTATGTTTGCTACTTATTCACGCAGAACTGGCAACAGAGAGGAAATTTATTGAACAGATGCAAGACTTCCAATTTCCGCAAGGAATTTATTTTCTAGTAGCAGTATGGGTGGTATGGGTAGCACAGTGGGCCGAGGATGACAGTGGCAATTCCAAATGTTCCCTTTCTTACTTGCATCCAAATCAGATCTTTTGTGTGAAATCCAGCTGTCAGGTGTGTCAGGATGAGGAGAATGGATCCGATCACTGTGTTGCGCGATGGAAACTTTGGAAGCGTCTGCTTGGGTGGGTTTGAGGCAGGTTAGAATTGGAGTAGCTGTAGCTATTTATAAGGATGTGTCTGGCTTGTCAGTAAAGCTGTTTTCATTTAGTCAAAGTCCCTTCATCAAGGAACAAATCTGAATAAAAGCATATATGGAGGCTACCTGTGAAGCTGTTGAGTACACATTTTGGAAAGAGCTCAGCTGCAAGTGCCTGCTGATTCTGCCAGGCAAGGTGCTCAGCCTGCTCCCAGGGGGATGAATGCAGAAGAGCAGGAAAGTGTGCCCTGGCTTGTGTGCAAGTTAACTGCGAGGCTGATACTGAATAATTGCTTTGAACGTTTATCTGCAGTGCCAGCTGGATACCTGAAGAGATTTACTGTCTTAAATGAGTTTATTCCCCACTCCTTTCTACTCCCTACCTTTTTTTTACCTTTTATGAAAGGCAAGGTTTCAAAAGTTATTTTCTCAGCAAAATCAGGAGCTTTTCTTAACGGGATTTGAGTCATAGGCACAATGCTTTGACCTTTACATTTAAAAAAGGCAGGCACCAAGATGCCGTGTGCTTTGAAGGAAGAGGGAGAGCGGACAAATCTAAAAATTGCTGACAAGGGAAAACTGATGTCCAAGAAAGTTTGCTATGTTGTTAGAATTCTGACCATTGGATGTGCCCTAAGGCAACTGCAGAGCTGGCACAGCCCGCAGAGGAGTGTGCCAACGGGCCAGATGCTGCTGTTGCCAAAGCAGTCCCAAAGCTGGCATCTCTGGGCTGTGAAAGTAATCCTAAAAGAAGTAGCAGGAGGACTGTTTAGTGAGGTGAGTAGGTGGGTTATCAGTACCATACTGAAATCCTCTTAATCAATTAATGCAATTTGATTATCCCAGCAGGTGCAAGAGATTTAAAATACTAAATCACACAAAAGCACAGGAATGCTTTTTGTATATGCTTGGTATACGCAACTTTTTTTTGAGAAACCTGTGCTTCCAGCTGTTAGGGTTCTTGTTGCCTCACAATAAGATGGAAGGGGCAGTAGTTTAAGAACCACCATATACAAAAACCAGAATGTGACCAGCTGGGTTTTAATCACTGTTTACTTTCCACTAGCAGTGTTTTCT